TGGACTCCAGGAGGGTTTTAGGGACCATGGTTAACATTTCGGCAATTTTTATTTTCAGGTGAAAAAAAGTAAAAAAATTCCAAAATGGAATGCTAATATGCACGCTTTTTGAGAAATTTTAGAGATTTCGCGTAAAGCTGTCAATTCGGGTAAACAGGTCAGTAAGAGTGGGTCGGGTCAATTCGGATTAATTCCATAAACTATGTGGGTCGGGTTTGGGTCGGATAGTTCTTGAGTCGGGTCACGTCGGGTCATACTTCTTGTATGGTTTAGGTCGGGTTAATAATAGGTCAAGCTACATTCGGGTCGGGTGAATAATAGGTCGGGTTTAAATCGAGTTTTCACAGGTTAAAACGGGTTAGGGTAATTCTCAGGTTCGAGTCGGGTTCGGTTCAAGTCAATAATTTGCGGGTTAGAATCAGGTCGGGTCATTCTTGGGTTTGAGTCGGGTTCGGTTCAAGGCTATAATTTGTGGGTTATAATCAGGTTGGATCTTTTTCAAGTCGGGTCATTCTCGGGTTCAAGTCGGGTTCGGTTTAAGTCATTTGCGGGTTATAATGAGGTTGGGTCATTTCCAAGTTGGGTTATTCTCGGATTTTAGTCAGGTTATGTTCAAGTTAATAATTTGCAGGTTATAATCATGTTTGGTGATTTCCAAGTCATGTCATATTCGGTTCAACTAACTATAAATAGATAATTATCATTTTTATCAAACTAATTATTTCCTTTGAGGCTTTGACTATAATATTTATGGCAATATACTAGGGAACTATAGTCTATAATTTAGGAAGATAATTATCTCCTTTGACCATACAACTAATATATACTATATTTAACTCTTAAATTTGAGGATGATGCTCCTTTCTTTTGCTGACTGGACCGACTTGGTCTCCCTAGACAAAATGCTTTGATCAACAATAATAAGGTGGTCTAAATTGCATTTAAGGTGATTATTTGAAATCGGATCAGGAACAATTTGGGTTGAATTTAGCTAGGTCGGTTTAATAACAAGTCGTGTTGATTTCAAGTCGGGTTAGTAATAGACTAGGTTGAATTTTTTGGTCGGGTTAGTAAAAGGTCTAGTAAAATTCGGGTCGGATCAATAACAAGTCGGGTTGAATTTGGGTCAGGTTAATAACAAGTCGGGTTGATTTCGGGTCGGGTTTGTAACAGGTTGGGTTAAATTTGTGTCTGGTTAGGAACGTGTCGGGTTGAATTCAGGTTAGGTTAGTAACAAATCGAGTTAAATTTGGGTTTTGACGGGTAAAAACGAGTTTGGGTCAATTTCGGTTCAGGACAATAATTTACGGGTTACATTCGGGTCGGGTCATATCCAGGTCAGTTCATGTTCGAGTTCGGGTTTCACATACTCTAGTCAACTCGGGTCTAGGGTTGGTTTCAGGTTTGGTTGGGTCACCATTTTTTCGGGTTCAGATGGTTCGGTTAATAATCGGGTTTGAGTCGGTATTTCGAATCGGGTCACCTTTTGACAACTCTAATTACATAGATGTTTGATTGTAAATAGAATCAACTGGTTTTTTTAGCCTAATTGCTGATTTAGTAGTCATTTTTATATATAAGGCTTAGGGAAAAAAAATGAAAGAATAATTATACACAATAAATTGGTGTCCAAATTGTGAGTATTAAAATTAAAATGTAATATATAATCATTTTGAAGAAGATTAAAAGATTTGTTGTGTATAATTATATGATCCTCCGTAAGCTTTCTCTGTTAATTAATTGTTGTTTCAAACTGTATTATGAAGTCGTTTACATGGCCAGAAGAGGCCTTCCAAAGGGAGGTTTGATAGGTACTTGTATATACATATCAAGGGGCATTTGAGACATTTCGCATGAAATTTACCCATCTCTCTCCTCCTTTTCTCTCACCCCCACGTGCTGGATTTAAGTGTACCACTGGGTGATTAATAATATCACTAGATGATCAAATAGTGTCATTGAACATTCTGTGGTACTATATATTCACTCAATGGTACTGTATATTCATTTAGTGGTACCAACTATTTATAGAAATAATATCACTACATATTCAATGATATTATATAAGCTTTTAGTGGTACATTTAAAAATTGGTCCAACTTGCTAATCTCTCTCCTCCTTTCTCTCACCCCCATGTGCTTACAATACTTTTTAATATTTTAAGGAATGATATGTATTTGCAAATACATATCAAACCTTCATTAGTACTTCCTCTGGCCAGAAACAACCAATAACACATGTCATTTAATGAAAAACCTCTCACATACTCCTTAATGCCTCCAAAATATGCTTAAAAAAGGTTGTTCGAGGTTTAGGATAATCTGTTTCAAATTATTTACAACGATATGACATAAAGTGTGAGTAAAAAATATCTAATTGTTGTAAATAATTCGTAATGAAGGAAGTATTAAGATTGGTATGTCGTTCTAGTTACGAGAAAGATTTGTAGCTCTAACATGTTGAAAAGGAAAGGATGAGATTTAATAAGTTCAATTGTACAAGTCAATACGTTTTATATATATAAAAAAAATGGATAAGGAGAATTCTCTTGCAAATAGGGGGGAATTTGGGAATCCTACTTGTTTGGGGTGAGAATTGAACGCCTTTCATAGAGGTGGAAGGTGAACCTCTAACCAAATAGGCTAACCTTAATTCTTAAAAAAAAAAAAGTCAATACTTATATCCATTGAAAAGTACTCTTTAATATCTCAAGTATGAAAAAAAATGTACAACTTGTACATATTTGTCACTATAAGGTACTTGTTCATTCCTATGTATGTAATCATGTATGCCTAAAATAGCTTTTTCTTGTATCATCAAGAATCTATTTTAAGTGGTTTGTACTTTATAGCCAAAACTCAAAGTGGGTGGCTATTACTATTATTATTTCCATTGACTCAATGCGTAACCCCCTCTTCTTTTTTTTAGCCTTATTTGGGCATCAAATTATGTTTGCTTCAAAGGAGACACTAACAAACTAGAGCCCACATCACATGTTGTACATGTGAACTTAGATAAATCAACATAACATATATATACTAAATCCACCAAAATTTGTTTACTAATGAGTAGCATAACAGGTATGATCCGCACCATTGTCTTAAGCCCCTTGTGAATGATAGGGATATCTTGTCGTATATAGTTGTATTTAATTAGTTAGGAGAAAGATCTTACTGAATCCATCCCCTATTATATATTAGTTAGTCTTTCTACATATATATAGGTCAATGCTTGAGAGTAGATGAGAATATTAAGGGAATCCTCTACTCATAAAACATATGTAGATGATAGGTTCAAACTTGTGACCTCAAAGTCACGAGGTGATCACGATTTCTCCACTATTTTCACCAAGAGTGTTTGGTTGTCATACATATATAGTTACATGTATGAATTAGTTTTATATGCATATATAGCATATACAAGTATATTATTAATATAATCATAGTAGTTAGACTTTATATAGTAAGAACAATTTGCAACCTTCTAAAAAGCTATACTACTTGAGGGCCTCTTGCTTTGTGCAATAGTAAAATGTCATAGTCCTTTGACTCATACTCGATCATAAGGCTTATACAAATCAAACTACAAATTCGTGCACGTATGTGTAGCCATATGGGTTCAGATCATATGTTCCTACTAATGTCTTATCTTGTCCAACCTCAACTCACTTAGACACAGTACACACATCACTAATTTAAAATCAAACGTCAAATGTTGTTGGTTTATAATAGATAACAAGGTACAATTAAAGACATTATGATCGGGGCTAATTGCTTATATGAATAATCAACATGAAATAACTGTATGGGCGTATGTCTTTTAGAGACCCTTTGTGAAAACAGTATAAGTGATTCAAAACAGTAGAGTTATAATGCCCTTGTTTAGAGATTGTTATTTTTTTTTTTTTTGGTGCTCTACCCGGTTCACCCTTTGGGCTAACCCGGATTTGGAGATTAGTTCTGGGTGGTTAGGTTTCAGTCCCCTCCCAATTGTTGTTGCGGGGGATCAAACACAGTTAGACATTGTTATTGATTCAAAACAGTGAAGTGTTTAAACTAAACACCTAACTAGCAGTTGACAATTAGCATCAAAAAGCTAGCACCATAGTTAGTTCTTGGCTCCACATTTGTACTACGTGTATGTATGAAGGTAAATGGTTGAAGCATTAATATTTATATAAACTGATCTCCTATCGGATGTCAATTTCTGCATCCACTTCACTAGCTAGTCACTATCAACTATATATATATGTTGGTGTTGGCTATACCGCCAGAGTCATATACCGCCAGCACCGGAGCTTAGCTTCACAAAATAGGTCATGACTGTCTAAGTGACAACAATAACATTTTTTTGTGTCGGATTAGTGTTAGCAAAAGATGATACGACATTAACCAGACATGTAAAAATATAGGTTAATGTGTATATATAATTTACAATCCCTTTATTTAAATAGATCAACACAACAATACACCATGAGGTTATGTTGGAATTTTCAACATGAAACTAACATGACTCCCCGCCTAATAGCTTATGAAATTGATCTAATGATAGATCTTTTGAATGAGACTAATTTTTTTTACATAACATGACAACACAATACAAGTCACACACAGAAAAGGCGGGTTAGTGTCAAGATTTCCAACATCATATGTTAATTAAACTAAATAACACGACACCTTTTATTAAACGGTCGAGTTAGTAAAGTTTCCCAACATGTTTAACTTCGAACATAAGCATAATGCAACGCATTTGCTAGCTCTAGTCTGGATCTGCGTTACATTTTTCGCAATTTCTTTTAATATACAATAATATGTACTTGTATATATATTTATTTTTTTTGAAACATGTGTACTTATATATATGGTAACGAATATAGTAAATTATATATATGGTAACTATGAATTCCAGAAAAAGAATAATATGACGTATCTTGCAGTGATTGAAGGGTCAAGGGGCGCTCTAAAGAGTGCAATAAACCTAAGCTAGAAGAAGACAGGATTAAATAAAGAGTGGTCATACCACGTGTTATTGCAATGCATCAACATAAACGACTTTAGACATGGTACATTAATAACTTTATAAAGATAATAATATAATCAAAAGTTTGAGTTGTAATTAATCAACTCTTTATTCCTTAAAATGTAGTGGCCTGGTCTTTTTGATTTCTTGATAAATTTATCGGTCATTTTAACTTGATTCTCTCGATTTTTGTAGGACCATGAAAATCCAAATAACATAAGACGTAGCACTATATTGTTTGCTCATTTTGGTATATGCTATCATGTCGAACAGTCGAAGTGCCTTATGTCTTGCATGGTCTTACACTCTTACTCACTCTTGTTGTTGCAATGTTGCCGATTGAATTCTTCACTTGATCTGTTTTTGAGCCACTTTGTGAATGAATCTAGGGTATTCATGTCGGCCCGATAATATTTTTGTGTAAACTCTAGAAAAAGTGGCCATGTAAAGTCCGGATATACCCTTGGCTGCCCTAACTCGCCGTCTACCAGTTCATCTGGTGGACTAATCACTTTGTCTCCTTTGGGGCACAAAAAGAATGCTAGTGATTTTCGCGGTGTTTTGTTGTTTACCACTGCCCTGTGTAGGCAACTCTTGTACTTTCCATTCGATAAAGCCTACACAAAAATAATTTTTTGTTAAAGACAAGTGCGCAAAATAATGAGGAAGTGGTACGAAACCCTACATAACATACGTCCTACAATGTTATCCCACTTTGTAATAAGTGAGTCGCGTCACAAAGTGGGCACACATTGTAGAATTAAAACTGAGGGAGAACATAACAAATAAACTATAATTTCAATGTTGATTACCATGAAGGTATCCCCAATGTTGACAACAAAAGCTTCGGGATTAGGACGAATGGAGCACCATTTATCATCGACAAACACTTCAAGGCCTCCTACGTGATCTTGATGAAGAATTGTTAGCGACGTGGGATCACAATGAGGTCCTGTTCCAAGAGTTATATCAGGCTTTTGGCAAGGTGGATAGTAGTTTAGCCTCACTATTGAGTTATTCTCTTGAAAAAATTCCCTAAAATAGTTTCCTCCAACTCCTAGACTCATTCCCAAGAGCTCCATGATACCAAGAGAAAGGTTGCTCATAGCCTTACAATATTCTTGGTACACCCGCCTGCACAAAAAAAAGAAAAAAAATAAGTTGGGACAAATAAGAGGTAAGATAGGGTGAAAAAAAAAAATAACCTTTCAAAGTCGCCCTTAAAGATATTATAATATACATACATATATACCACATCTGAAACTTAAATGTACCATCAGGAATTTAAAATAAAAGTTTTACTTACTAAATTTAGAATCGTATTTTTATTTGTGTAGGACAGAGGAAGTAATACATACAAATCGCAATTGTCTTACCCAAATTCTTGAAACTCAGTCCCCATTGAGTTCAAAACATAGTTTTCAACCATATTTGAAGCCTTATCATCAGCCGAATATCGAAAGGAAAAAGTCTCTTTCCAAGGCAACTTAGTAGTAAATCTTCCAACAAAGCTACTAGAATAGCCACAATGATCACCAGGTTTCCTAAGAGCTCTCTGTTTGTGTGAAATCGGCTTTTCGAAAAATTGAGTCATAAGTTCATGTGCTTTGTCTAGGAGCTTAGAATTTACGCCGTGGTTGACAACTAAGAAGAAGCCATGCTTCTCGCAGGCTTCATTAGCAAGTCTAGTTGCATTTGACAACGCCACCGGGTCTCCGGAGAGGAACCCTCCTAGATCAATGGGAGGAACCTCGAGCTCCGGAGGCGGTTGCGAGCATGGTTTTTCATCATCTGGCCATATAAATTGGGTTGGAATGTTATGTTCATGTTTGAGAATTGATGTATCAAACAATGAGAGTTTTTGATTAGAAGGTGGAAGAGTAATAAGTGTTTGCATTGCTAAAGATTTAAGCATGCAATGTTTGTTAATACAAATTTTCTTTGGAGTGTAAATGGAGCTAAGAATTTAAGCTAGAGAAAGATAAGGGAGATAAGTTTAAGGTGTTTGATTTTTTTTAATGAAGTTGAGAAGTGGAGGAGAGGGGTTTAAATGACAAGAGAAACACTTGTTCAAAGTGTCATGTCAACTTCTATATTACTTCTTTCATACCAACTGGGCTTCTGGCACGTGCAATACAAACACTTTGTATAAAATTATGAGGTTAATCGATTAAGACTAATGAACTAAATTATATTAATTTGTATTGAATTAAGATTAGTTTTCTTTATTATTATTATTATTATGCTAGAAAGGGGATTAAAAAGATAGGTTAAATGAGGTGACATTGGTATTATTTAATTAAAAAAACAAGGTGACATATGACATTATGATTTGTATTTTTTATGTACTAAGTACAAATAAATTTGGCTTGTTATTTTTTTCTTTACTTATTCGTTTTTACATCCATTATCATCAAATAAAAGTCTCATTTGTTTTAAACACAAATTCTTTGAAATAAATAAAAATACTTTGTATAAAATTATGAGGTCATCAATTGATTAAAGGTGAATATTAAGAGAGCTAGCTAGTGGGTCAAGTGTATGGTAAGAGCAAGAGATGGAGATATCATAGTGTTGTAAATGAAATTTAAGTAAGAAAGTTTAAAATGAAATTATTGAAAGTAGGGTTTGTAAGATAAATTTAGAAGAGTGTGGTTTGTTGAGTAATTTAGAGTATGTGACAATTTTCATGATTGCTTTGCTTAATTATAGGTGAAGGTGTTAATAGGTGAAGGTGTTTAACTAAGTATAGCAAGTAATTAGAAGCAAATAACCTTGGTATAGAGGGAACAAACTCAGTAAAGAGGAAGCAAACAAAACAGCCTTTAGCCGCCCGGTCTGCCGCCCGGTCTGGGTGGTGGTCGCCCGATCGGGCGCGCGAGGGTAGTTCTGGGACAAAGGTCTGCCGCCCGGTCAGGGCCACCACCGCCGGACCGGGCGCGAGAACAGAGAAGAATTGCGAAGGCTTGCTGTCAGTTTGCGGCAGTTACTTCGTATTTCTTCATAAGCTATTTGCTTGGTTTGGTTGTTTTGTCAGTTACTTTTGTAACTTTTGGCAGTCACTTTGTGACTTTTTGCTTGATAAAATTTGCTTCTATATATATGTAATGTGAGCATATGATGAAAAGGGAGAAACTAATTAAAAAAAAAGTGGTTTTGTATTTCTCATACAAAACTGGAAGAAAATATGCAGTTTATTTTCTTTGATATATTTTGCAAACTCTATATTTATCCTCATCACAAATCACATACACTTATCTACATTGAATTGTAATCATCCTACTTGTGATTGCAATTGTTCTTCGTTGTATCTCCTAAGTAAATTTCCGTGAAACCCGGTTGTAGTATAGGGTCGGAATTATACTTTTGGGAAAGTGATCCCGTTCACGCCTCGAAGATTTTACCAATTTATTTTATTTGCTTTCTTTGTGACCCTTGTTAAACACAAAATCCCCAACATGGTTTGTATGTAGAATAGGTTTGTACCCAAAAAAAAAAAAAAAAAAGGGTGCAAGGATGGATCTAAGGGAGGGCTTGCCCGGGCCACGACCCACCCTATGCTCAACAATTTTTAGTTTTATTTGTATTAATCCGTTGTGTTTGTCAAATATAGAATAGTCACTGGTTGAGTCGGTTTCATTAATACTAATTTTGATGCAATAGGTAGTGCGTTCAGATCTGCAATTATTTTGAGGATATAAAATCAATAGAATTGAAGTAGAAAGTACGTGTAATCAACAAAAAGAGTAAGAAGGATGGAGGATCTTTGTAGCAAAAAAGAGAATAGTTTTGTTTGAGACTCAGTGCTTTACAAGTCTAAAATGAATAAAGTATTATAGGACTAACTGCTTTATAAGTCTATTAGGAATCAAGTATTCTAGGCTTAATGAATAGATGTTGTCTCCTTTTTTTTTTCTTTTTTTTTTGGGGCTATCACTTGATGGTCCAAAAAAAGGTAAGAAGACGTTGGCATGGTAGATAACGTGGTACCATTTTTAAGATGTAGAAATGAAAGAAGACATAAGATATGATATTAGCTTAGGATCAGGCAAAAATATGTACAACTATTTTTTTGTGTTGTAGTTAGTTCATTGTGGGACAAGTGATGGGGAAGTGACTTGGTTTTGAAGGAAAAAAGTAACACGAATAACAAAACAAATAACAAAAACAAATACTATTGGCTGATAATAATTTATACAATTTACACACTTGAATAGCTAGTTAAATTATAAGAAGACTAATAGTAACTTTAAATTCCCGCGTATGTTCTTTTTTAATTACATCATATTTCCTCTTGAATTATCGCAAAATGATTGTAACATTGCATCACTACTCTTAGGCCAACGGTTCTATTTCTCTCCTCTTTACATGGACACATTTAGTTTTTTCCCTCTATTTCTCTCTTTTCTTGTAAAACTGTGAATTTCATTAGCGTTGCGATTTAGAATGGAGAAAGCATAAATGCATATGTAGGATTGATGTTGTTGCATGTTCAATGAAAATGGAGGCCATTGGAGGGACTAGGGAGGGCCTCGTGTATCTAAGGATTCCTTTACCTTGGATGCCCTTTTCTGTCACCAATAAAAATTTGATTTTTTTTTATTTGATTTTTTTTTTTACAATTTTTACTATTGAATTGGTTGATCGTATAGGTTATAGGCTTACAATATATTGCTTGCACATTCGTGTGGTCTACATTAATGCCTAATATGACAAAAATCAGAATCAAAGATTTATGTGGGGGAATTGAATCATGATGAAGAACCACCAAGTGATCCTAAGTCATTAAGGGTTGTCCTTTCAAACGTTCATTACCCCCGAAAAGAGGTAATTCCAAAAACAAATTAAAACATTTTGTTATGGTGGCCTTTAAATGATTTGGAAGCCATCTAATTCATTAGGAAGCCCCGAAAAGAGAGTAAGGGTATTGAAATTAATTGTTATGCTTGCCTTGTTACCATATAAAATACGAGTAATTATTACTCAAATTTAGATAAAGAATTACGAATTTACATTAAAAAAAGATAAAGAATTACGAATATCCTTCGTCTCATATAAAAGTTTCATTATTTTTCAACTATAAATTCTTGTTTAATTTTATTTTCAATCCTTGGAAATACTTTGTTAGTGTCTTGGAAAAAAAAAAAATTATAGCAATTAAAAGTTAGTATAATACTATAAGTCTATAATGGAATAATAAACACGAGGAATTAACTTTCTAAGCTTATCAATGTATGATAAGAGTGTGTAATCATTTTCCAATGTGGCAATCATCTTTGCAATTTTTACTTGGTATTATATTTCGATCCATAATTGTATCTAGAAGTTGTGTATTTACCTCTCATCTTTTTATTATCGCATATTGACGACATATTAGCTAGGTATACAAGGTAAGATCTCTAATTTTTTAAGAAAATTGTGTTTTGAAAGATAAAAATAATTGTGCATATTTTAAATAATTGTACATATTTTTTAGATTCTTTGAAAAAAGAATAATCAAGAACACGACTAGAGTTTAATGATGATTCAGATCACCAACACTAGTAGTAGCAACTAGCAAGCACAAACGAATCAATTGCTAATCTAGCCCCTTTTTTTCATACATACTCTCAATCAGTCAATTGTATCTTTTTTATTCTCTTGATATTCTCTCTTTAACTTCTACTACTTCTAATCTTCAAATTTCTAATCTTAAAAGACTTTTCTCTAAAGAATAACAAGATATGTAGGGCTTGCTCTCATCAGCTTAATTTCAGTTCAGTTCATATCAGATCATTTCAATTCAGTTCAGCTCCAATCAGTTCAGTTCAGTTCCTAATTTCCTTCTCTCATAAACAATTCAATTCAGCTCCAATCAGTCCAGTTCAGCTCAATTCAGTAAATTAAAACAGACCCGTAGGTTTTTATTTTTTATTTTTTAAATAACATTAGGTACTATTAATTACATAATACGTATAGTCATAAAAAAACCACTTATTCTCCAAAACAATACGTATAGTCTTCCTACAAGTCAATAGTTTAGCACGACAAGGATAACAGGAAAGAGTCATATCTTGCATGCCATGACAATTAAGTCTATTCTATCTTTGGTGTTTGAATACGTTGGTTGGCAAACAAAATCAAAGGATATATAGTCGTACGTTAGATTGTTACTTACTTGGAGTAAGCACTTATTACTATCTTATTTCAAATCACTTCCCACTAATATATATAGTGATGCATGACTAACATAGATGCATAGCTCTATCTATATGACTAGTACTGTGGACTAATGTCAAAGTTTTGGAAAATATGATAATTACATAATAGTATATCCGTTTTTATTTACTTACAATGCGTACACCTCTTTGAGACACACTTTAAAAAAAGTGTTTAACTAAACGTATGAAATAACCACATAAGTTACGCTAGCTCTTACTTGTTGAGAGCAAATGAGTCAATAAGCAATACTCTATTAATTAGGGATGGCAACGGGTCGGACTCGGAGCGAATTATGCTAAATCCGACTCCGACCCGACAGGAAGTCGGAGGTTAAATCCGACTCCGACTTCGACATCTGACTCCGACTCCGACTTCAATATCCGACCTGTGACTCCGATCCAACCCGACTCCGAGTTTTTTTTTTTCATTATTAAATATACTTTGAGATGTTGGACTATTTGGGCCTTTACAACCCACACCCAATGCTACCATGACCCACACAAAAATCCACTATCTATTGGAGTCGGAGTCGGATAATCCGTTAAAGTCGGACATTTGTCGGAGTCGGATTTTTTTCTCGGATTTTTTGTAGGATCCGACTCCGACCCTCCTCCGACTCGGAGTCGGATTATTTTAACGGAGTCGAACTCGGATTACTTTTTTCTCGGACTCGGAGCGGATATTTTACCTTGGATAGGGGCAGAGTAGGGTCGGGTCCGGACTAGATTGCCATCCCTACTATTAATTGTAATTTAAAATTTCAATTTATCGAATCCAAAGCATTAGCATTTAGCACTAGTCAAGTTGAATAAAAGACTTCCAAAATTCGAAAAGTTTAATGCTCATGTTGGTTAATATTTTGCGAGCCAGGCTGATGATGAGAATACGGAGCAAAAGATTGACAGAAAAAAAATACTCGTAAGTCGTAAATGCACTAGCAAGGATGATGTCATGAACATGAAGGGATATATATAGTACGGGAAAATGGTTGTTGTAAGCCATGAAAATCAACAGCAACCGTGGTTCCCATTTTTCAAGCAGGGTCACGCAGCATTGTTACAAGTACACCTATCCTGATTTGCCACGTGTATGAATAGATTGGAAATATTTTGGAATTTTGTTCTTGCAATAAACCTGGCTCCCACTCAAA